TATGAATGAAAGGACCTTGTATTTTTCACAGATTATATAAATATTCCAAAGGATGTTTAAATATCAACACTGTTGTACTTTTTTTAACTAAAACACAGAAAAAAATGCTTTTTTTTGCTAATTGCACGATAAGAGGCTTTCGTTTTCAAATGTAAGTGCTAAAATACAATCAAAATGAGAAATGTCAAACAATGTAAGGATGTCAAATGACACTGTTTTGTGACAGTTGTTGTGTAAGCAACATGTTTACAAACATACGTGAGATACAACTTGGGAGTATTGCTATTGTCTTGTTTAGGAATTTCATCTGAACAATATGTCTATCTACAACAGATGATATTGTACTATTACTACTATTCTTTTACATCAAAATCTGACTTTTTAATACAAATTTACATTTTAAACATACTTGAACTGTTTAAAACAAATTCAGGTTTTAAAAATCAAACCAAGACTATTATAAAACGAATTTTCCTTTTGCCCTTTCAAATTCAGATTTAAATTTGATGTATAAACGAATGCATTATGTATGGTTTTAGTGCACGAGCGTCGCTAGCTGATGATCTAGGTTACATCTAAGGGGCTGGCTAGGAAAATTTGCAAGTAGTTTTGCGTATTTGACAATTTTAGCCTGTTGGCTCCCTTTAACTCCTTGTATGTGTGTGTGTGTGTGTGGGGGGGGGGGGTGTGTGTATGAGACGTGCCTGTTGCGGGGGTCGCAGCAGGGGTAGAGCGGGCGCAGCACAGTGAGCAGCACGGAGTCGTACTGGCAGTCGTTCAGCATCGCCATCGCCTCCGACACGCTCTTCACGCCCTCCAGCGAACGATTGTTTATCTGCAACATTTACATCTCATATATCTCTATGTCCCTTCTGCATATTCTCTACGTCTCTTTTACATATTTATGTAATACTTACGCTAACAACTCTGTCGCCGACGTAAATGTTCCCTTCCTTGGCCGCGGCACTACCGCACGCTATTTTGCTTACGAAAATACCTGACAAAAATATTTACGTGAAATATTTACGTAACTAGAAACAAATATTTAATTTTTTATTAAATCTAAAATTTAAATTGTTGAGTTAGAATAGTGTGCAGTGGGACAGTGGGACAGTGGGGCAGTGGGACAGTGGGGCAGTGGGACAGTGGGACAGTGTGCAGTGTGACAGTGGGACAGTGGGCAGTGTGACAGTGGGACAGTGGGCAGTGTGACAGTGGGACAGTGGGCAGTGTGCAGTGCGCAGTACCGTGGTGCAGCGCGACGCCGCCGGCGAGACGCACGAGGCGGCGCAGATACCGCGCACGCTGCAGCCGCAGCAGCGCGGCGCCGCACGCGAGCGCACCCCGCAGCGCCGCCGCACACGCCCCGCCCCGCGCCCACGCTGACGCGCCGCACGCCTCCGCCACGCGGTCCAGCACCCTGCACATGTACATACATCATCTTACATTTACTTTCACTCATTTGTACTGAACGATTCTTTACCTATATATACTAGTCGCCCGCGACTCCGTCCGACCGGATTTTTAAATAAACTTAGCAAGTAGCTTATGTGCTCATCTAGATTATGTACTTCATCTATGCCAAATTTTAGTAAGATCCATGCAGTTGTACTGGAAATGCCTTTAAACAAACAGCAATCCATCCATTTAAATATTCATATTTATAAGATATAAGCGAACAGTAATATGCTATAATCCGGACCTGATCTTGCCGTCAGCAATGGAGCCCTTCTTGACGGCGGTGACATAGACGCTGGTGTCGTTGGGGTAGTACGGCTCCTCGCGGCCGCCCGCCA